TGTTACATATGCAAAGAAAAGAGGCAAGAAGATTTCAGGAAAAAAAAAAAACCTGAACTGCCAGACATTAAAACATAATGTTACAATAGCTACAACAGAGTGATTTGGAAAGGTTAATAAAACAATGGATGAAATGGAAAATCACTAAATAGGCCCCAGTGTACACATGTTTTTAATATATGCTTAAAGTAGCAACTTAAATCATTGGGGAAATAGATGGATTATTCAATAAGCAGAGCTAAAGCAATAAGTTAGCTACCATAGAAGAAAATAAATTAGATCCCTAGTCATACTCTACCCAAAAATAAATTCCTTTGGATGAAGAATTAAATGTGAAAAAGTAAAATCACAAAGAACTAGGAAAAAACAGAGGTGACTACATTTGCCTGATCTCAGAATGGGGAATGCCTCTCAAAGCACAAAAGAAAAGATTGAAAACATAAAGGGTGGCAGGTTGGACTACAAAAAGTTTAAAACATGTTCGGAAAAAAGACAAAAAAAAAAACTACAAAGTTAAAATGGAAATGAAAACTGGAAAAACATTTACAAATTATAAGACAAAGAATAAAAGCCTTAACATATAAACAGCACTTTCATAACCAAGAGAGAAAAACACACACTGCAGTATAATGAGCAAAGGACAGGCAATAAACACATTTTTAAATCATCCATTATCCTTCAACAAATCACGGCATTATAAAAAAGTAGGATGGAGGGGAAGTGTCTCAGAGACATAACAATCCCAGACGCAATGAGTAAGCCTTCCCAAATCCAGGTTCAAGCAAACCAATTGTAAAACGACACCTTGGAGACAAACGGTGACTGAATATTAACTAGGTATTAGGTATAATAAAGAATTCATGTCAACATTGCTAGGTGTGACAATGGTATGGCATTACATAAAAAAATGTCCTTTTTTAAATGAGATGCATGCTGAAGAATCTAGGATAAAATGTCAGGACATCAACAATTTACTTTAAAATACTTCAGCCTTATTGAGAAACCAGAACAGAGCAAAAAAATAAAAAATAAAGTAAAAAAAAATACTTCAGCCAAAAAAGAATAGCTGACACAAATCTGGCATAATGTTAATAATTATCAAATAGGGAAAAAAAAAAAAATCCTTTTTTTTTTTTTTTTTTTACAAATAATATCTAATATATGCCAAGGTACAACAGAAACCAGAAATTTCAGCCACTGTGGATGGGAGGGCAAATTAGAACAGATTTCACGGGACTAGAAGCATTTCAGATTTGGGAATATTTGCACATACTTAATGAGATATTTTAGGGATGGGACCCAAGTCTAAACACAGAATTCATTTCTGCTGTTCACGTATGATCTCGATTTGGTTTCCCTGACATTGTAAATATTGGTATATGTCTACACATGGGAAAAATTTCAAAAGGGCATTCATCAAAATGTTACCAATATCCTACTGAGTACTCTTGAGGGAAATTCATTTATGTTTCATAGACACCTTATACACATAGCCTGAAGGCTATTCAACAGTTTTAATAATTCTGTGCATGAAACAAAGCTTGCGTACACTGAATCATCAAAAAGCAATGGTGTCAAATGTGGAATTTTCCACTTGTGGCACCCCGTCAGCACTCAAAATGTCTCATATTTTGGAGCATTTCAGAGCTCAGATTTTCAGATTAGGGATGCTCAACATGGAGAACTTTCTGGAGGTTAATCTGGCAACATGTGTCAAAACTCTTGAAAAATGTTAAAACTTGGCAAGTCCATGTTCAATAATTTATCCCAAGTAAATTTTCAGCAATGAGCACAAAGATTTATAAACTTGTAAATTTATCATAGCATTATTTATGACTGTGAAATACTGAAAATACCCAAATGGTCAACCTTAAATCTTCACGCAGCTGTATGATAGACTTCAGGAAGTCATCAAAAACTGAATTTTAGAAGAATAATTAAAGCTATACTGATAAATTTTATGATTCAGTAGCTATAAAAATAAAAATCAGCATGGCAGTTCCTTTAAAAATTAAAAACAGACAGCCTAAAAAAATAAAAAATTAAAAAAATTAAAAATTTAAAAAATTAAAAAATAAATAAAATAAAATAAAAAAAAATAGCCTGAGCAAGACCGAGACCCCATCTCTACTAAAAACAGAAAAAATTAGCTGGGTGTGGTGGCACACGCCTGTAGTCCCAGCTACTTGGGAGGTTGAGGCAGGAGGATCGCTTGAGCCCAGGAGTTTGAGGTTGCCGAGAGCTATGATGATGCCATTGTACTCTAGCCCAAGGGTGACAGAGCGAGACTCTGCCTCAAATAAAAAAAAAAAAATTAAAAATAGAAGCCAGGCACAATGGCCCCTATAGTCCCAGCTACTTGGGAGGCTGAGGCAGGAGGATCGCTTAAGCCCAGGAGTTCAAGGCTGTCATGTGCTATGATTGCACCTGAAAATAGCCACTGCACTCCAGCCTGGGCAACACAGGGAGACCGTCTCTTAAAAAAAAATTTAAAAATAGAATTACCATATAACCCAGCATCCCACTTTTAGGTATGTACCATGACAGCAGGGACTCAAAGAGATATTTGCATACCCATGTTCACAGCAGCATTATTAATATCCAAAAGGTACAAACAACCCCGTGCCCACTGACAGATGAATAATGTGGTATAACCATACAATGGAATATTATTCAGCCTTTAAAAACAAGGAAATTCTGACACATGGTACAACAAGAATAAGCCTTGAGGACATCATGCTTAGTCGAACAAGCCAGTCACAAAAGGACAAACACTGTACGATTCCATTTACATGAAGTACATAAAATAGTTAAATTCATACATAGCCAGGCACGGTGGCACATACCTATGGTCCCAGCTACTTGGAAAGCTAAGGCAGGAGGATCACCTGAGGCCAGGAGTTCAAGTCCAGCCTGGGCAACATAGCAAGACATGGTCTCAACTTTTTAAAATATTTCTTTAAAAAGTTCATAGAGGTAAAAAGTAGAATAGTGGCTGCCAGGGGCTAGAGCGAGGGGAGCATGGGGAATTAGTGTTTAATGGGTACAAAGTTTCAGTTGTACAAGATGAAAAGAATCCTGAGGATGGATGGTGGTGAAGGTTGCACAGGATCGATGTACTTAATACCACTGAACTGTACACTTGGCCGGGCTCGGTGGCTCACGCCTGTAATCCTAGCACTCTGGGAGGCCGAGGTGGGAGGATTGCTTGAGCCCAGGAGTTCGAGACCAGCCTGAGCAAGAACAAGACCCTGTCTCTACCAAAAAAAAAATAGAAAAATTAGGCAGGCTTTGTGGTGTGCACCTGTAGTCCTAGCTTCAGGACTGCTGGGGCTGAGGCTAAGGCAGGAGGATCACTTGAGCCCAGGAGTTTGAGGTTGCAGTGACCTATGATGATGCCACTGCACTCTAACTCTACCCAAGGTGACAGAGTAAGACTCTGCCTCAAAAAAAAAAAAAAAGAAAACTGAACTGTATGCTTAAAATGATTAAGATAATAAATTTTGTTATGTGTATTTTATCATAATTAAAAACAAATAAAGATATACTGATACATTTTAAAGAGAAAAGAAAGGCATGTTGCAAAATAATATGTTCATATCTGACCTCAACTTAGGTTTCCCTGACATCATAAATATTGATACACGTCCACACACAGGGGAAAAAAGCTCATCAAAATGTTACCAAGACCTACTGAAAATTGTTGAGGGAAAAAAATGTTAACAGTAATTATCACTAGGTGCTGCACTGATGGGTAAGTTTGTTTTCTTTGTGTATCTGTGTGCTTTTCTGTAATTTCTAATTTCTACAATTACTTTTGTTAATCAAAAGCCAAGGTATGTTAACTAGACAAAGGAAGAACGAAAAAGGCACTCAGACTGGGTGCCGCATCCTAATATGAGAACATCCACAAGTGTATTTCCAAATCACGTAATAAATATGATTCTTTTGATCATCGAATTATATAAAAGGCAGGCTAGGGGTTTGAGAAAATAAAGACTGACTCAGAAGACAAAGCATCAGGAAGTTCCCTGCAGAATTAAAATAGAGGCATATCCCTGGTTTTGAACAATTCCTCAGGCCAGAGCGGGTTCTGCACATCTCTGTGTGCCCAGCAGAAAGGAAAAGACCAGAAGAGGCTCAAACACCTTCCGAGTGGCCCATCGCTTGAAAAATCAGGCTCAGAAAGAAAAGACTCTTAAGCCAATGCAAGGCTCTCCCTGGGACTGAACACTCCCTGCCCCCACACGTCTCTTAAGCTAAATCCACTTTCAGAAAATATTTTCTAGACAGCAGACATCAAGAGAAAAAGGAGCCTTTCTTTCTGCAGCATTTGCTCGCCGCATATGGTACTGCTCTGAATAGAGGCTTTATGAGGGAGGGTCCAAATACCACAGCCATGGGTTACGCCGCTGACCACAAACAGCAATAAATAGACGTGCAGATTTATACATCCGAGCAGCAGAGGCAGCCTGGATAATTAAGATAGAGCTTCCATCACATTCCAATATCCAGTAGATGTTTACCGAGCGCCTACTAAGTGCGGGACACTGTTTGTAACACTGTCCCAGACAGACACACACGCGTGCACACGTGCACATGTTCACACAGTTCCTTTGTTCTGTTCTGGGGCTCAGACTAGAAGAGCAATGATTTAGGCTGGAGGCATTTGACAGTTTCAGTCAACATACCGCGCATGATCTCCTGGGTTGGGAAGAGGAGCAGGCAGAAGGAAAGTTCCCCCCACCACCTACCCCAGGAAGGATCAGAGGGAACACAGCACTGCAGCCCACCACCAGAGGCCCTGGACAAAGGCGGCTGACCTCTCCAGTGGAGGCAGAGGAGCTCCCAGCCTTCCTACAACTCCACAGCGAGCACCCGCGGGGAGCAGAGCCACCCCAGCCCCTGGTCCCGGGGGAAACGGCATCACCAGGTGTATCTGCCAGGTCCTCCCGACGCCCAGCAATGACTCCCGCCAGCGCCCCCTTCATCGTACGTACTTTTGCCCCCATTGTTCTTCAGGACGTTGGAGAGGTTGACAGAGGCGGTGCCTAGCAGCTCATTTCTCAAGGTGTGGCAGCTCCAGACCTTCAAATCTAAATGACTCTGGGCCGTGACATTCCTGGAAAACAAGTACTTGATTCATCACATCCAGGCAGCAGATCGGTCATTCCTATAACTTAGAAGAAAACAGCTAAACTACACTGCTGACATCGTGGCGGCAGAACCAAAACAGGAAGACACCCACATGTACCCTCTCCCTCCGCAAAGCTGACCCTGTAACCCTCTAGCTAACAATGGACGCTCTATGAGCTCAATGATATAGGAACACCTACAGCGAGGCCCCTTGGGTACCACAGGCAGAAGAGGCTGAGGCTCCACAAGCACCCTGTGTCTTCCACTGCCCCCTCGGAGCACCCTCTCGCCTTTCCCCAGCTTGCTGCATCCAAAAAGAAGGGACTGTCTCTTACAAGATGATGATCTCATTCCAGAGAAGCTCAGAGCTCCCAATGCGCTTCCCAGTCTTCTTGGTCTCACTGGGGAGCCCATCCACCGCCACCTCCACGTAGGAGTTAATTCGAGGCTGACGATTATGCACCTTGGGCTTTGCTGACACCACTGGACGAGAAAGAAAGAAAAAGTCAGAGGAGTCACAGGGTTTCCAGATGCCCCCCTGTGGCAGACGTTCTGGCTCTTTCTGGTTGTTTCTTTGAAAAAAATTAATTCTGTTTTGTCCTGATTCTAAAAACTTTTTATTTTTTTCTCTTCTCTCCAGCTCCTCTCTTTAAAAACTTTTTAAAGAAATATGAGTATATAAAAAAATATGAAGTATAAGAAAAAAAATCACTCCTAACCTGAAACCATTGGGATAATTACTGTTAATTATCATTACCAATTTATCACTGGTAAATCTTTCAGACTTTCATCTTTTATTTCCCCAATTCTTTAAAAATTCTTCTCCCCCCAAAATCAATCTTGAATGACTGCAACCTAAGCCTATGGTATGGATATGTTAACTATTCTTTCATTGTTAAAAAGAGTACTTATAATTTTTTGCTCTGGGAAAATTACACTGAATGTATACATTTGCAAGCATTTCTTGAGTATTCCTCCAAAGGATATGAACATTTTTAAAAGTTCTTAAAACTGCTTAATTCATTTTCAAAAAAGGTAAACCCAAGCTGACTCCCATTAGTACAATAGGAGTAGATCCATTTTTACCAAACACTGCAGAGTGCTGAGTACTAACCGTTTTACTTTTTGCAAATCACACAGGTAAAAATAAAATAGTATAAAAAGAATAGCTAAGATTTAAAGAGCACTTAATACAGACACTATGCCATGTACACATTATCTAACTGACTCCTCTCAACAGACCCATGAGGCAGGGAATATATTATCGCCCCTGGCTTACCAAGGAGGAAACAGGCTTGAGAAGCAAGGTCATTGCCCCAGGCTACATAGCCAGGGAGCTACAAACCACAAAGTGCTCCCAGCCAGCCCAACTCCACACCATGCTGTGTGTCACTATCAAACTTTGCTTATTTGTTCTATCACTGTTCTTCAATTACTAGTGAGGCTGAATATTTTTTCCATGTGCTTGTTAGCGAACTGCATTTCCTCTTTGGCTCCTAGCCTTCATGTGGTGGCATTTTCCAAGTTTATATGGGCCCAGCAAGCCAAAGACACACAGACACAAAGCTAAGCAAGGATTACACCTGAAAGTTGGACAAGTGTCCTCATGTCACATGTATTACCCATGGTGGAAATTCTAGGTCCTAGGAAGAAACACATCTAGACAACTTCCATCCTGTGTCCCAAATCTGAGGATGACGTCCCTGGCCCATAAGGCAAGAATACTCTAGTCTGAGCTCCCCCCTGTCGAATATTAGCAAACCTCTCCCTCCCAGGCCCTTCCCACAGTCCTATCATGGCCCACAACTTGGCAAAGACCAAATCCACCTCCAGATTGTTTTTTTGTAATAACTGTCTTCCCCAGGCCCCAAAGGAATTGTAGGAAAGAAGCCAAGAAGCAAAAAAATAGTTGCGGCTAAGATTCAGAAGCAACAAGGGCTGGTTCTAAGAATAAAGCTTTGTGGCCCTGAGGCATGGCCCAGAGCAGGAAAATGAGATCTTTACACGTGGACCGAGGCTAACTGAGGCCACCTGGTGGTGAGAGAGTAGATCTGCAGGCCTTTTACTTAAAAAAAAAAAATAGGGACTACACACAATCAGACAGAACGGTTTGGCTTACGATTTTTCCACTGCACGATGGTGCAACAGGGCTGTAGAAACCATACTTTCAATTCTGAGTTTTGATCTTTTCCCAAACTGGCCACATGCGGTATTGCGCAACAGCAGTGAGCCGCAGCTCCCGGTCAGCCACACTACCTACGATGTACTGTGTTGCCACATGATTTTGCCCAACTGTAGGCTAATGTAAGTCTTCTGAGCACATTTAAGGTGGGCTAGGCTGGCTGGAACCATGGCTCACATTTGTAATCCCAGCACTTCGGGGGGCCAAGGCAGGAGGATTGCTTGAGGCCAAGTGTTGGAGACCAGCCTGTGCAAGAGCGAGACCCTGTCTCTACAAAAAAATAAATTAGCCAGGCACAGTGGCGCCTGACTGTAGTCCCTGCCCAGCTACTCAGAAGGCTGAGGTGGGAGGGTCCCTTGAGCTCAATAATTTGAGGTTGCCGTGAACTGTGCTCACACCAATATACTCCAGCCTGGGCCACAGAGCAAGACCCCCTCAATAACAACGACAACAACAAAAAAAGAGTAGGCTAGGCTAAGCTACGATGTTCAGTGGGGTAGGTGTATTAAATGCATTTTCCATTTATAATATTTCCAACTTATGGGTTTTTCAGGATGCAACCCCGCTGTAAGTCAAGGAGTATCTGTACCCATCCTTAGAGACCTATAATTTTGAGCCAGACAATCTCTTTAAAATCAACAAGTTCAAACTCTTTATTTCCTAGTTGGGCCAACTAAGATTCAGGAAGGTGAAATAACTTATCCCAAATCATGGAGCGAGTCAGAGAAGAGCTAAGACTGGAACCAAGTCTCCCAGCTTCTAGGCCATGTCAACTCTACCATGTTATATCCTTTTTGTTGCCATGTAGCTTTTTTTCCTTAGAAATTTTTTTTACTTTTTTAAATTTTGATATAATTTCAGACTTCTAGAAAACTAGCAAGAATACTACAAAGCATTCCTCAGAGTCACCCAATATTAACTTTTGACTATATTTGCTTTATTATAATTTTTTCCCCCTAACTCAAATTTTGCCAATTTTCCTATCAATGTCCATCATAGCAAAAAAGAAAAGAAAAATTTTTTCTGGTCCAGGACCCAAGGTAGGATCACATACTACATTCAGTAGTCTTATTTTGAAGTTTCCAATCTATAGAAAAGTTGGAACAATAGAATGACAAATATTTATATACTCTTTACCGATTGTTATCATTTTGCCACATTTGTTTTTTGTTCTATGTGTCTGTCTATATCGGCACCATCCAAGAGAACTTCTTCTACCATGATGAAAATGTTCCATACCTGTGCTGTCCAAAACATTGCTATGAGACACATGTTGCTATTGAGCACTTGAAATATGACTAGTGCAAATGAGGATGTGAATTTTATCTAATGTTAATTAAAATGTAAATAGTTCTGTGTGGCTACAGGGGCTACCCTACTGGACAGCACAGATTAGAGATATATGCCATCTGTATGTATGTATGTATGTATGTATGTATGTATCCACACTGTTCTTGGAAAACCATTTGAAAGCAAGTTGTAGACATCATGACAGATCAGCCCTAAATGCCCTAAGAATGCAACTCCTAAGAATGAGGACACTGTCCCACCTAACCACACCACCACTATCAAATCTAAAAAAATTTAGTCACTCCCTCTATCATCTGATATCCAGTCAACATCCTAATTTCCCAAATTGTTGCAAACATATTTTTACAGCTGCTTTTTCCCACAATCCAAGATCCAATCAAAATGCACCTGGCTATTGTCTCCATAATCTTTTAAAATCTAGAACACCCTCTCTTGTTTTCCATGACAATAATTTCGAAAGACTTCTACCAGCTGTTTTATAGGATGTGCCAAAATTCTGCATTTTTCTGATTGTTTCCTCATGATTAGATTCACTTCAAATATTTTTGTCAAGAATACTACATAAGTTACGTTGTGTACCTCTTATTGTATATAGTAGGCTGGCCTCCTATTGGGGTTGCTAAGTTCAAGTTCTTGGTTAATGTGGAGTCAGCCAGGTCTCTCCACTGTAAATATACATTTTCCCTCTATAATTTATATTCATTGATAATCGGTGGGGTGCTATTTTGAATATCTCTTATTGTTAAAAAACCAGCCCAAGTATGTCTTCCATTGCCCATGGAGGTAAAAAAGAAAAAAAAAAAAAAAAGTCAAAATAAAGGCCTCAAGATATGAGCAACTTTATCTACAAAGTCTATTCACTGTTTCATGAAATCTAAATGCCAGTTTATTATACACGGAATCACGTCTTCACCTAGAATGTAGCTTTTAAAGTCAACAAGTAAGGCAAAAATCACATAATACCAAAATTATACCCTTACAAAGCTCTCAGGAAAGCACCACAATAGAGTCTGGCATGTTGTCTTTCAAAAGGCTCCAAATAGACTGTTTTTTGCTTTGTTAGGCTGCATTTTTCAGTGTTCAATTTTTCAGTGTTTCTTGAGTTAAATATTAAATAAAATAGCTGGCTTATGTTTAAGGGCCTTGATGTATTTCAATATATACCTTAAAACTCTAGGATCATACTGTGGATGGCACAAGGGAACCGAGGCAAACAGAAGGCACTACATGATGACATCCCCCACATCACACTACCAGCTCTCTCAGTGCAATGCCTGGGAAAAAGAACCACCCATGCTATTTAAATTGTTATTTCTCTCTTTCTCCCCCATTTTCCTGGATGGTATTATCAAATCTCTGTAGATTAAATGCACATACAGTGAGATCTACCTGTATTATCAAGTTAGCTCTTTCCACACTAGTAAGAAAATGTACCTTGAAGAAAGGCAACAGAGAAACCTTTAGAAATAACTGTGTGTTCCTGAACAATATGATCCCAAGACAGGGACCTCAGGATGTTACCAGAGTCCATGGGCAGACTTCTGCTTTGACCTATGCTAATTATTAGCTAAGGCAGTCTCAAGTTCAAAACCAAACCTGTACACTATAATCCATTTCCCTACTCAAAAGGGCTGGAGCCGCCATAAGACTCCAAGAAAAATAATTAAAATGTTTCAAGACTACAAAAAAAAATCAATAACTCAACAGGAAACAGGCAAAGAATATGAATACACAATCCAAAGAAAAGGAAATATAAATTTCCCCTAAATCTACTATAAAATGCTACACATCATTATGGTTGACCCTTGAACAACACAGGTTTGAACTTTGAGGGTTCACTTATATGTAGATTTTCTTCCACCTCTGCCATCCCTGAGACTACAAGACCAACCCCTCCCTTTCCCCTCTACTCCTCCAGTCTACTTAATGTGAAGACCACGAGGATAAAGATCTTTATTACTTTATTGTAAGAAGACAGGATATAACACACATAACATAAAAATGTGTTAATCGACTGTTTGTGTAATCGGTAAGGCTTCCGGTCAACAGTAGGCTATAATAGTTAAGTTTTGATGGGTCAAAAGTTAGATGCAGATTTTCAGCTGCATCCCTAACCCCCACACTGTTCAAGGGTCAACTGTGTAACTAAAGAAGTGGGAAATAAAACTACACTGAGAAAACAAGCTTTTACCAATCAGATTGGCAAAAATAAAAAGGCTGACGACACATCGTGAGGGTAGTTATGGAGAAACAGGCACTCTCAAACATTGCTAGAAGAGTGTTTCTTCCAAGGAACGCAATCTGGCTCTCAAAATTACAAAAATTCATCCCCTTGGATATATCTTGGAAGGGATACACAAGAAACAGATAACATCATTTCCTCCAAACAGGGACTCGGAAGGGCTGGAGGAAAGGAAAGAATTCTGAACTATGTGAATGCATTAAATAAAGGAATAACATTTATATTTCAAAAATATTAACGAAAAATATTGTCAAGAAATACAATTTTGCCTCCAGAGGGCCATGTTGAGGGGCCTGAGCTCAGACACTGAGTGCTGCTCCCCCATCCCGGGCATCTGCTCAGTCCCGTGAGTCCTGCAGAGCGACAGCGACTGAAGCAACATTCGTTCATTCAGGCAGTATTCACTGAGGGCCCACTATGTGTCAGGCACTGTTCCAGTGGCTGGTGTATTGACAGTGACCAAAACAGACAAAAATCCCTGTTCTCGTGGAGCTTACATTCTCAATTTGAAAGAGACTGCTGATAAATGAAACAAATAAAAATATGTGAGTATGGTGACAAGGACTGAGAAGAAAAGTCGGGGAGGAAGGCAGCCGTAGATCAGAGGGTCAGGAAGGCCACATTGCACAGGGTGACTTTTGAGTAAAGAGCTAGGAAAGAAAGTAAGGAAGCCAGCTAAAAGCATTTCGCTCAGAGGGAACAGCACGTGCAAAGGCCCAGAGGCAGAAGCCTGCCCAGTGTATTCGATGAAGAGCAAGGAGCCCTGTGTGGCTGGAGCCCTGTGAACGTGGACAAGTAACAGGAGATGAGAAACAGGAAGAGGAGACATGATGTGGGATCTTCAGCTTTTACTGTGTGAGCTGAAGGGTTTGAGCAGAGGAGTGACAAAGTGACAAGATCCAGCTTACTCTTTTTTTTTTTTTAGAGACAGGGTCTCACTCTGTCATCCAGGCTGGAGCATTGTGGCACGATCATAGCTCACCGCAGCCTCCAATTCCTGGGCTCAAGTGATCCTCCCACCTCAGCCTCCCCAGTAGCTGGGACTACAGGTGTGCACTGCGATGCCCACTCCAGCTTAGATTTTAACAAGAACACTGGCTGCTGTGTGACTAACGGACTGAAGGAGGGCAAAGGGCACAGCAGCATGCAGGCTGGGAGGCTACTGTCTTAATGCAAGGTGAAGAAGATGACAGCATGGACTAGGCCGAGACCATAGGGGTGGTGAGAAATGGCAGATGTTGGATACATTCTGAAGATAGAGCCAACCAGATTTGCTGATAGGTTGAATACCCGACATGAGAAAGAAAAGTCAGGAGCTCAGTTATAGACACGTCAAATTTACATGTTTACTAAATATTCAGGTGGAAGCAACAAGTTAGCTACTGGATATAAGAATCAGGAGGTCAGAGGAAAGGCCCAGAGGGAGTGATCTTATATTGGTGGCATTTAAAGCCACAAGGTTGGATGGATCACCTAGGGAGTGAGTATAGACAGAAAAGAGCCCTTGGGCATGAAGGAATCACCATTTTAGATAACTTTAGCCTCAAGTTCCTTTTTTCCTTCTTCTTCGAGTTATTTTCTTTCTTCTTCAAGAATTCCAGCTACAAAATGACAATCCCATGAAGATGAACAGTTACACCAGTAAGCTATTTTACAAAACTTGGCTCGCCAGGTGTAGTATCATTCCACCTGTTCCCACACATACAGTAAACGATTCACACAGTGCCACTCACCTTTCAAAGTAAGCTGAGACTTCTCGAAAGGCAGGGCCACTCCTGCCCGGCTGGAGCTGGCAGATGCCATGTCATCACCATGAAACTGCAAGACAAACAGAGCAGCGGGTTTAGAGAACATCTGATAAGATGACTGAGGAACTGAACTCAATTTTAATGTTTAAGTTTAAAGAGACAGAAGCAAGAAAACATAAACATCCAAGCAACTGTGGCCATGCTACTTAGGGTAGGGTACTGTCTGTCTTCTGATGACCCTTGAACCTGGATAGGTCTTGGATGGTCTAGGAAGAACACGGGACTGTTACATGTTATAACAACGTCTGGAGGAGGGCAAGACTAATACAACATCTCCTAAAAGAAAGTCACAGCTTAACAATAAAAAGACAATTAATCTACTATGTTATATGAGGGGCAAGCCTTTCGCCAACACCACGAGGGTCTCTGGCCCAATGAATAGAGTTTGATCGTAATCCTTGCTACCAGTATAAGGTAAAAAAAGGAAAAAAAAAAACAAAACACACAACTAATCCAATTTTTTAAATGAGTAAAAGATCTGAATAGACATTTGTCCAAAGAAGACATCCAAATGGCTAATTAACACACTAAACGATTCTCAACACCATTAGCCAGACATCCCTGTCTCCGTATCTTGACTAGAAGCAGAAATCTATCTTGTACTTTGAATGGATCTTTTACTCATATGTGATTTTGGAACATCATCATTTGTCATTTGGAAAATATTGGTTCATTGAGTTATGCAGATATGCCAAATGTTGACACATTTCATTACACAATATAAAAAAATGGTATTTGTGAATGTCACCACTGACTTCATCAGACAAGTCTTTAAGCATCAGGAAGCTGCTGAGCTCTTGGTGGTAAAATAAGTGTTCTAAAATTCTAATTTCACTTAAAGACTCATATTTTAAGCCGGCTGCCGTGGCACATGCCTGTATCCCAGCTACTCAGGAGGCTGAGATGGGAGGATCGCTTGAGCCCAGCCTGGGCAACACAGAGAGACCACATCTCAACAACAACAACAACAAAACCCAAAAACCAAAAAAACTCATATTTATCAATAGCAGCAAATACTGTCAGTGGTTTTCCTCGAAGTGTCAGGCTCACTTCATTCATTTTCAAGAAAATGTCTGCCAAATACGTAAATCTAGTAATGTTCATTTGTCTACTAGTTGTTTTCTTTTTTTAAACTAGAAATAGTATTTCACCAAAAAAGCAACAAATCCAGCTCTCAATGCAAACAACCGTACAAGTGCTTTCTCTCAACACACTGTCAACCTTCCACGTGCAGCAGAGGAGCTTCGGGCTGTTTCCCATTTCAACGTACAGAGAATTAGAAAGAATGTGCTCAGGAGTCAGGACTCCATCCAATTAATAAATTTTACTGCTTCATCAAGGACATTCTTATATGAAACTGGCTTTTTCTTGTCTTTTTGCTGAGAGTGTTTTGTGTTGAAGAATACCATGGCAACAGCACAGCCTGCTTCGTGCTGGCCTCGACAGCTTTGCCCACCTTTGCTTTTGCACCACCAGTGCAAATGGCATCACAGTGAAAAGGCAAATAAAGAATCTGTGTTATTAGGAAAATAGTTTTGACCTTGCAGAAGCCTAGGCAAGTCTCAGAGGCCTCCAGATGCCTGAGGATCATACTTGAGAACTGTTGCTGTAAAAATACTATGAAATTCCTGTTCGAGTCAACATCATTAATACCTTCTTTCATTCTACATGTATGACCTCTCCTCCTGACTTCCTATTTTATTTTATGTTTTATTATTATTATTATTTTTTTTTTTTTTAGAGACAGGGTCTCGCTATATTTCCCAGGCTGGGGCACAGTGGCTACTCACAGGTGCAATCATAGCTCACGGCAGCCTTGAATTCCTGGGCACAAGCAATCCTCCCACCTCAGCCTCCTGAGTAGCTGGGACTACAGGTGGGTGCCACTGAGCCTAGCACCTGATTTCCCATTTTAAAGAGTTGTTCAGCCTTGAAACATGGTTATTAACTCACCACGTTACTCTAAGAATAGAAGCCCTTTACGTGACAATGAAATGTAGCTACAGCTAAATATTAATAACATTGATTTTGACATTTTCCGTAGCTAAACTCAAACAGTTTTATGCTTTAGGATTTTTAGTGGGCTAATCGGCCTGTGATTCTCCCTGTGTATACGTGTTAAATAAATTTCTATACCAAAAAAAAAAAAAAAAACATTTTTAGCAAAACAAAACAGAATTTGCCTTATTTGTAAGATACATCCAGTTTCCAAAAAGATGTAAAGTAGCTAGTTTTTTCTGGACTAGTCGGTAATAGGCATTTCACTTCAGTGGAAACCTCTCAAAATGTTACTTAGAAGCAAAAGGAATATAAAACCAAAGCTCTGCCTACCAAGGTCTCAGTGACCTCTGCGTTACTAAATCGAATGGTGACTCTCAGTCCTCCTGTGGAACTGCCTACTGGCGGCATCTGACATAACTGATCAGCCTTCCATCCTGAACCCTTTCTTCCCTTGGCTTCCAGGACACCGCACCTGCCTGATGCCCTGCCAGCCTCCCAGGCTGCCAGCTTCCGGCTTCTTTGGGGGCTCCTTCCCCCTCCTCAACCTCTAGCCATCAGTGTCCCACACCTCCAGCCTTACATCTCTTCTCTTGGCTATCTCAGCCTGTCTTGGGCTTTAGATCTCATCTACCTGCTGACAATCCCAAATTCAGGTGTCCAGTAGGATCCTCAGCCTTGAACCTCAGACCCTCAGATCCACTGGCCTATTGGCAAAACGACCTTCTGATAGTCCCCTCCATCCTGCTCTCCAGTTTTCCCCAGATTAGCTCATGACAACTCCTTCCACCCAGTGGTGCGGGCCACCACCCTGGGACTTATCCTTACTTCCCCCGTCCTCCTCACACCCTATATCCGATCTGTCAATAAACTTGGTGGTTCTACCTTTAAATATTTCCAAGTGCAACCATCTTAACACCTGGACTGTCACCACCTGAGTCCAAAGGGCCATGGTCTCTCACTTGGATTATTGCTTTTTCTGCTTCTGTCCTTTGCCCCTTTCAATCTAAACTCTAAATTCGGCAGAGAGTCATTTTTTAAATTATATATAAGTCAGATCATGTCACTCTGATGTCCAAAACCATCCAGCAGTTTCCATCTGCTTGGATTGAATGCGTCCCCCAAAGTTCATGTGTTGGCAACTTAATCCCCAATTCAACCGTATTAAGAGGTAGGACTTTTAAGAGGTTAAAAGATGAATGTCATTACAATCGATGTGGTTCATTATCTCAAGAGTGAGCTGGTTATAAAAGCGAGTTTGGCCCCCTCTTGTTCTCTCACCCTTCTGACTTCCACATGGGATGACGCGGCACGAAAGTCTTTGCCAGGATGTGGGCCCCTTCACCTTGGACTTCCCAGCCTCCAGAACGGTAAGAAACAAATCTCTTTTCTTTATAAATTACCCAGTCTCTGGTATTGTTATACCAGCACAAAACAGACTAAGACACAGTCTAACGCAGAGTGAAAGCCGAAGTCCTTAAAATGACCTTCAAGGGCTTAAGCAATATGCTCCTCTCACTTCCTCATACTACTCTGACCTCATCGGCCACTTCCCTGCCCCCTCATCCCCCACACACCCACCCCCTTGAACATGCAGACATGCTCCCGCCTGTCTTTGCATTCCACCCCCTCCTCTAGAATGCTCTCCCTCTAGGTATCCACAGAGGGCTTATTCCCCAACTGCCTTCAGGCATTTACTCAAAGGTCTCTTTCTTTTTTTTTTTTTTTTTTTTTTGAGACAGAGTCTGGCTCTGTTGCCCTGGCTAGAGTGTCGCGTGGCATCAGCCTAGCTCACAGCAACCTCAAACTCCTGGGCTCAAGCAGTCCTTCTGCCTCAGCCTCCAGACTAGCTAGGACTACAGGCATGTGCCACCATGCCCGGCTAGTTTTTTCTATATATTTTTAGTTGTCCGATTAATTTCTTTCTATTTTTAGTAGAGACGGGGTCTGGCTCTTGCTCAGGCTGGTCTTGAACTCCTGAGCTCAAACGATCCGCCCGCCTCGGCCTCCCAGAGTGCTAGGATTACAGGCGTGAGCCACCGCACCCAGCCAAAGGTCTCTTTCTTAAGGGGCCTTCCTTCTCTATTTCACTTTTTGTCCTTTATCACTGCATGCTACATACTGTATTTATTTACTGTATTTATTGCATGTCTCCCTCCACTAGAAGGTAAGTTCATCGAGGGCCACGATGTTTGTCTCATTTGTTAGCCCTCCAGCCCTCGTGTCTAAAATGGTACCTGGCTCTTAGTAGGAACTCCATAAATATTTACTGAATGAATGAATTTGAACACCAATTTTCTGAAATTTAAAAAGATGGTGTTTTGACTCCCTTAGACTAAATTTGTTTTGGTGAACCAGTAAAAAGACGAACTCTCCTTGCTACCCATCAGATTAGAAAGAGATGAGAAATCTGACAGTAAGTGTTAGCGAGAAGGCTCACACACTGCTGCACAAGGTACACATTAGATGGCACCTGACAACCTCCCATAGACTTCATGACACGTATATTGTAACCCCCGGGATTCTACTCCCAGGCATCTGTGAGAGGAAAATTCTCCAACAAACACAGAAGAAGCCGTGTTTAAGGATGTTCATGAGAGCGATGCTTATAATAGCAAAACATTGTAAACAACCTAAGTATCCATCAATGGGAAAATAGATAAATTGTGATAATTTCTAAAATGGAATGGTATATAGTAACTGAAATATATGAATTCAAGCCACATGTACAAATCCCAAACTATAACACTAAGAGACAAAAAAAAATGCAAGTGGCAGCCTAAGTACAGTATGGTGTCATTGGTCTACACTTGAACTTACACAAAACAACTCCATATACTGCTGTATACGTATACTGTATACGTATATGTATACTGCTGTATACAGCAGTGTGTCCACTAGTGGACACACAATTGTAGTAAAAGTATAAAAGCATGGACAGGAAGGAACCATCCCAAGTTCAGAACAGAATTTCCCTCTTGGGTAGGGGAGGAGGAGGCAGGAGAATTGGAG